TCGACCTAGCACAAGAATTCTCTCTATCCTTTGGCAGAAGACACAGAAAGACTTATTCTGGAAGGTGCTCAGGTTTTAGGAGGACTTCCCCTCCCCTCCTCTGCAAATGTTTTCTTTTGTTTTGGTTTTGGGTTTTTTTTTTTTTTTTTTTTTTTTGAGAGAGATTTTTTGCTGTAGCCTGCATTCGTTCACCGATGAGACAGAGAGACAGAAGGTAAGAAATCACCCCCCAGCAGGGATAGCCACACCACAATCCCTTCTCCTCCATTCTCCTCTCGGGATTTTGAGCATGCACATACACACACATGAGTTTGAAGCCACTGGGTCTAGGATTTGAACTGTGGTCAACCATGTGAGAGTCGAGCGACATAACAATTATGCCATCTGCTGGTCCCTACAAATGTTTTCATAATCAGAAACTGAACAATCAATCTCAATTCTACTTTAATACACATATACATGTGGGCAGTTCAAAAAGTTCATGGAAATGGAATTTAAAGATGAGTTCATTTTGGTGGGAAAAAACTTGGAAATCCAGTGTCATAACACATATTTTCTATGCATGAACTAATTGAGGACCTTGCATATACATACAGATATCTGTATCACCTCTCCACCCTTAACAAGTCTGAATTATGCTAAATTTTATGAACTGTGCAAGTAACACTAATTATTTTAGAGAGAATTCAAGAAGGGGCCAACTCATGACCCATAAGCCAAATGTGCTTGAGTGGGGAATTGGACCGACAGCCACCCACACAGTCCTCTGTGATCATGCCAGAACCATGTGACCACTGCCCCAACCCCCTGATCAACACACCTCCTCCCTCCTGGGCATGAGAAGCAGCTTGTGACGTCTTCACTTACTCCTCCAGACTTACAGACATTGGGATTTGTCACCAGCCTGTCTCCACCCACTTTGGGGAAAGAGAAAGTGAAACTTCAACATCTATTTTGAACAGTGGCCAAACTTTAATCAATTCCAAAGCCATTCATGAGAAATCACCTTCTTTCTTTTAAAGAAATATTTTTTAATTTGCTCTAGGATGTGTGAGTTTGCCAGAGAGGGGCAGAGAGAAACCCTCCCAAGGGGATGGCTGTGCCACAATCTCTTCTCCTCCACTCTCCTCTTAGGATTTTGGGCATGCACACACACGTGCCTGGCATGTTTTTCAAGCCCCTGGGTCTGGAACATAAACCACCAGTGGAATCCCGCCACCTTAACCACTACACTACCGACTGGTTGAAAAATTTAACTTCTAACCAGATGAAAGAGAATTCTTCAGTCATTTGGCTTGGGATTTGTTTCATGGATGTAGGTAGAAACTCTGATAAATTTTTTATAGCTTTTAGTCCTGGCCTCCTTCCTACACCCAAGAAAAAGGGCAGTTTGAATACATGTAAGGCAGTGAGCTCATGGTACAACCTTCTGCTTGTCCTTTACAATAAATTCTTGGTCCCCTTGGCCTGTTCTCACTGTACCATAGAGGACCTACCCCAACCCTTGTGGATGCGACCTGATGGGCTCCTTGTCCCTGGCCAAGCTCAGTTGGTCCCTGCACAGTGACAGCATTGACGTCACCCCTTGTGGTGGAAGAATTAGTTAAAGCCCAAAGGGAAAAACAGGCCAAAAAAAGAAAAATTAAATCCAGCATGCCAAAGCCATTTCTTTTATTTTGTGGGCCCTCAGCAGCTGTTAAGCTTTGCTGGATTTTGATAGTAAGAAAGTTTCCAAAAATAGAACAATGAAATGTCAGAGTTAATGGAACCACAGCAATAAAATCGCTCCACTGCCAGGCAGTCTGACTTTATTAACATGATAGAAAAGTTGCTTTGTACCCTGAACCCATAGTGTACCCCTCTGCTTGGCCCTCCCATCCTCAGAGTACCCCAGAATACCAATACTGAGGGGAAAACAACCACCTCCCACCTCCAAAGTAGTAAACATATTGCCATGAGCAGTGTCTCTCAGGGGATGTTTATTTTACTTATGTTTTTTAAATAATTGATTATTTAATTATATTTACCATTATTGTTATTTTTAAATTTGCTACAGAGCACAAACACTAACCAGAGAGAGACAGAGAGAGAGAGAGAAAGAGAGCAAGCTGCCAGGTCTGGGACTCAACCACAGCCAGTCATGTGGAAGTCTAAGCGCCTCAACCACCATGCCTCATCCTCATCTGCAGTCCCCATTCGCACTGCACTATGACAAACTCCTTTCCATTGTCTCCCATTTGAGGATGACAGATGCTATACACCTTTGCCTCTGTCCTCAACAGAATGCTGAAGGGGACTCCAGCAGCTTCTAGTATTTCTTCCAAAGGACCTTGAGAGAAATTCTCAGGATGGAGCAAGGTGGAGTCCTAGCTTATCCAGGATTCACAGTGGTTACTGGGTAACTGGGTTAAATGCCAGGGCTCTTTGTATTCCCAAGAGTCTTAGCAATCTGAATGGCTTCTTTTGCCGTCAAAGCACTGTTAGCCAACTGGTTTGCTATCTGTCTTTGTTTTTTTCCAAAGAAGCTTTAGAAAATACACGAAAACAAGAACCATCACTTCATTTTTTTACTCAGAAATCTTTTTTTTCTCTGTATCTCATTCGAGGGTGTTTTTCATTTAGAATGATAAAAAGTTTCTGAAAAATGACAACATTTTAGAAAGCCTGGATGCAATGGACTCAGCCATTGGTCACTGTAGAACTCTTGAGTAATTTGTTGTTCTTTCCTAAAGCAACTGTTTCTGGGGACCAGCAGATGGCCTAATGTTAACGTTACTGGACTCCCATGTAGTCAACTGCGGTTCACGTCCCGGACCCGGTGGCTTAAACTCACGCCGGGCGCGTGTGTGTGCATGCCCAAAATCCCAAGAGGAAAAGGGATTGTGGCCATCTCCCCTGGGGGGTGGGGGGCACAGTTTCTTACTTTATCTCTGAAGGCCTTATGGAAAGATCTGTTCTAGGCCTCTCTCTGAGTTCGGTGTTCCTTGGCTTATGACAGCATTAACTCCAATCTTCACATGGCATTTTCCCTGCATGTCTTGGTTCAAACTTCTCCATCTTAAAAGGGTGCCAGTTATATTGAAGTAGGATTTCCCTGATGACCTCATCTTAACTTGACCCAACGTAAAGACCCTATTTCCAAATAAGGTCTCATTCACAGGTGCTGGAGATTAGGACTTCAACATCTTTTGGAGGGACACAATTCAACCAGTCACAATGGCTGACTTTGTTTATGTCCTTCCCAGCATCGCTTAGAAGAGCTGTGATACTATTGTATTATCAGTGCTCCTCACTCCTTAATGTCAGCGCCCAGACTTTAGAACTGTCGCTTGTGAGTTTGCTGTTTCCACTGTTGATGTGCACAGTAGCACGTGAACGGTGCCCTGTCACTGGAACTGGCAATACTTGCTCTCGCCATCTAGTAGAAAAACTCTTCACAAGACCAGGGATAGCAGGCAGGGTTCTGTGTTGGGTTGTGTCTAGCCTCGATCCTGGAAGCACGGCAGGATTTAGGGAACTCTCAGGAAGGGGCGAGATAATGCCAAATAAAAATAGCTGATTTGGTGAGCATAAGAATGTGGCTATCATGATGAAGGAACAGAGGGTCAACCAGTTTGACCAAAGCAAAGCAGAAATGGAAGGAGTTCACGTTGGAAAAGATTGGTGAGCGATTATGTCAGGTCTTCTGGGCTAGTATAAGAAATGCAAATTTCATTTAGTGAGGATGTCTGATCAGGCTGAGAGACTAGTTTTACAAGATTTTTCTGTTGATTTCTGAAGGATGGCAAGTGTAGAATGGAGTATCAGGAGAAAGTCGAAGTACATCCGTAGTTGAGAAGTTACAAGCAAACAAATTAAGAATGCACCTACCTCCTGGAGATCCTTTACTTATCGATTAGTCCTAAGTCAACTGTGACCTCCACAGGGAAGTTTTGCAGAGTTTCTGGCTCCTTACAATTTGGTACCGTAGTTCTTAGCATGGATTGCCACCTGCACTCACCACATCACAGTGTGATACTTTCTTTTTCCACATGTCTCCATTAGACCGTGCTCTCGTGAAAGGCACAAATGTTCTGTGATGTGCTTTGTAGCCTCATGACTAGCAATGGGTAAGATCATATTGTACATCTCAATAAATCACCTACTGCAGTGAGACAAAGACAGGCAGAAAGCTAGTCACCTAAGAATGACTTGACTACAAAATGAGCCATCAAGACTTTTATACTTGGAAACAGAAAGGGCCTTGACATCTAACCCAGGTACCCAGTAACTATTACAAACCCTGGATGAGCCAAGGTCCTAGCTGTTCCATCCTGAGACAGCTCTGGCTGTAAGCAAGGCAGAGCAGAGGGGAACATAGACACAGCTTTTTCAAAGGATAAAAAAATGAAGTGATTGGTTCAAAGTTACTTATCAATTAGCACCAAGACTGGGAAGTAAAAGAGAAACTTGGTCCAACTGCTCATTATCTGTAATAAAGTGTAGTAGAGATGTTGTGTTCTGCAGGCTGGGACCACATGGAAGGTAGGGGTTCAATTCCCAGTTCAATCTAAGGCCAGGCAAGTTGGCAAGTGCGTGTAATCCTAGCAACTCAGGAGGCTGAAGCAGGAGGCTCACAAGCTCGATGCTGGCCTGGCCACAGGGTGAGACCCAATCTGCCCCTGTGGTCTCAGCTACATGGGAAACCAAGAGAGAAACTTACATGACTAACTGCCACACCTTGCCACAAACCTGCGGAGAGGGGGTATTATCATTTTGAAACTTACAGTCACAGTGCTGAGGCTAAGAGAGGGTAAGTGGCTTGTCCAGGGTTGCTCGGTTGGTAGGTGGTAGAGCTGGGCTACAGCAACAGGGTGTGCTCATCCCATTTCCTACGACCCCGTGCCATCCTGCATGAGACTCCAGGTTTCCCAAGACACTTCTCACTTCCTGAGCAAACATGGCCAAATACGTTTCATCATTCTTCTTCCTTTCTCACTCCCATTTTCCTTGTTTTTCAGGAGAGAAGTATGAGCTCCATGCAGGGACTGAGTCCACCCCAAGTGTCGTCGTGCACGTGTGTGACAGTGACATAGAGGAAGAAGAGGATCCAAGAACTTCCCCAAAGCCAAAAATCATCCAGACCCGGCGTCCTGGCCTGCCACCCTCTGTGTCCAACTGAGTTTCCTGCTCTGCCTCGATGATAATATCCGGCTCCTCTTTATCATGCTTTTTATTTTTTTTTCTTCCGTGTTGTTTGTCAGAAACAAAAATGAATTGCCTTTAAATCCCTGGGTGTTTGGTTGTTTGAGATTCCTTCCTTGTAATCAAGCCTCTTGGACAAAAGGGCTAGGAAAAGGTGATATGTCTCCTGATCATATCATACCCATTAAGTATAATCCATTATTTAGAAGGTTCTAGGGGGAAAAGTAGTATTTTCTTATTAAATAATCAGCACAGCCTATATCTTTGTTCTCTCTCATGTTGATCCAAGCCAGAAACATCAGTGACAAATAGCACCTGTGTTGTTCGTGAGCCGTTTCAGTCCCAGTCCTGATGTGTGCGTGTCGTTTTTTCCTGGCCACTCAAATAGGACCATATGTAACTTGACTTTGACTGCATGAGATATCTCTATCTGGTCTCTCTCAGTCCTCTGCATCCCAACATTCCCAGGACATGCATGATCACCAGCATTTATTTTCATGATTTGAGGATATACTATAACTCACAGGTCGTCAGCATCCAGCCATGTCCTATCTAGATTAGGGAAATGAACAGCATCATCCAGCTCAAGTCTGGGTATCTTCACTATTTTGAGTCAATACTTTATAGCTCTGTTAAAATTCCTGGAGGCAAAACTGAGCTTGGCCCCAAAGATATTCTTCAGTAGATTTTGAACACCACTTCATGTAGGATTTTCCCAGCCTCGTTGGGGAGGCTTGTCCAGTGTGACAGAGACCGATTTCAGACAAACCTATTTATTATAAAAGTCTCATGGTGTCGGAACGATTGTTCTTTCTCTTTGTATATTTGTACAAATGTTTCAGCTGTGCTTTTAAAATCTGGATGTTTTTTATTTAGTGATTGTTCAACCATTAGCTGCTTGGAAACATAATATGTGCATTGCTTCTGAATGCATTCATATACTAATACAGATAATCTGACATTACACTCTAGTATGGAAGATGCTGAATTCTGAAAGGGCACAAAATGTCTCATGCCAATGTATAAGTGATTAGCCAACATCTTTGCTATCAAGACCACTTGTTTTTAAATAAAGAAAAGATGCATGTTCAGTTGTAGACGGTTCGGATGGAGCTAAACCTCCAGAATGTAGCAGCAGCTGAGCATATTAAAATAGGAAGGGATGATAGATAAATATATGCTAATCCTACTCATGCAATGCCATATGCTCCAAAAGGTTATTTGTTTTTGTTACACGTGATTTTTCTATTTCTCTAGCCCAAAGTGCATTACAGAAGATACACCTAGAGAACCATTACCTTCTGCTATATGTGCCAGGCCTCATCTACTCCTATAACATTACTGAATTACTTTAGATGCAAATGCAAATTACGACGGAGTGGGGAAGTACTTTCATTCCCCAAGCCTCAGAAAAACACACAAGTACAATAACACAGCCAACCGATTGAAGGATTGTTGTGGTTTTTGACTAAGGTGTATGTTAGTTTCATCAGAAACTTAAAACATAGACTGATCACTCAGAAATTAAAGTCCGTTCAACTGTGAATATAGCAATATAGTACTGGACACAGTACAGAGAAACTGAGGAGAGCATTGCTTGTAAAATCCTGAGTTTCCTTAAGGAAAATGAAGACTCCTTTTAAAACTAAAATCTGAGGAGTGTACAATAAGCAAATGCTTTGATTTTCCTTTGCTGTGGAGGTTTTCAGGGACAAACGAAAAGACTACAGACAGAATAGTGGGAAAATGGTGCCCTCTGGTGGAAGTAATACTGCACTCAGCTCTTCTGATAAACAGATCAACCTTCTCAGCCAAAGGCAGGTCATTTGACTTGTTAAGCTAGCCTGAATTTTTGGAATGCAGGGTCTGAAGAAATCTAGATGAGAGAGAATGTTTGTAACTGTTTTAGATCAGACACAGACATTTCTAACAATTTAGTAAAAGTCAAAATGACCATTCTGTGTATAATAGAATACTCGGTGGATTGTATAGGTGGTTGGTCTTAGTAGAATGTATTGTGTGAATGTTAACCTGTCTCAAATGAAGTAATTCTTTCACTGGGTTGGGTTTGGGGAGGGGGAGGAAGAGAAGCTTTCCCCAGAAGACTGTGAGAAATGGGAAGGCGTTCTTGAAGGGTTGCAGTGGAACCTCCTAGCACTGTGGAAGTCAGAATTGCCTCAGCATTTCCATGATGCACATTATGCAAACCTCTTTAGCACTATTTTAAGTTTGAAAAGTTTAAAAATGGAGGGGAGGGGGACTATTTCCACCAACTGAATCATTTGTGCACGTGTATAGCTCAAAGAGCTTAGACTTTAAATATATCTGGTGAATGACTCTTTGTCCACGTGGTGTGATTTCTGTGTGGTCTACCTGAGTTGCTTATTCTGGAGGGATGGTTGCAAAGGAACGCAATTCAACCTGCAGTCTACAAAGTAACTGACATGGATTAACTCTGCTGGGTTCTTCCTGAATGGGCACTGAGGGAAGCAAGCTCTCTTTTGGGAGGGAGAAGGAATCTGAGCAAGGCCCGGAGAGATGGGCTGGATTCTGATAGGAGGAACTGAACTTCCTGTTTCATTGCAGTGTTTCAACCATCATAATCCTGAAAGCCATTTTCAAGTGTACCAAGAACCTCTTTTTAGCACCTCTCTATTCTTCAGTTAACTATAAGAGACCCAAGTTGGCACAAATTTCTTACACAGATGACAGTATGATACAAAAAATTATACATTAAATGTTATTAAAATTAAGAGCATCATTCATCAAATGACATCACTGGGAAAATGAAAAGGAAAATTTCAGATTGGGAAACGATATTTGAGACACAGGTAGTTGTTAAATAACTCATATCCAAAATGTAAAAAGAACTACAAACCATTAACAACAAGAAAACCCATTTTTTTAATGGTCAAAATACTTCAAAAAGCACTTCACATATACAGGCAATGCACACACAAATACTCAACTGACCCATAAACACAAAAAAGATGCTCGTGAGAATATAAGGAATAAGCCAAACTTTTTTCCTTTGCTCACTCAACCATCAGCACAGACTTCTGCAAACGAGTGTGAGGAGGGGGTGCCCACACACTAAACAAACAATCCATTCTGAAGCAGACACCATTTGATTCCACTAATTCAATTCTGTCTGACACTAGCTCCCTGGAGGCAGCATCAGATCCCACAGGTAGCTCTGTTTCTAAGAATATCCCACTTCCAAATGCCAAGCACAAGCCCCAGGGATTGTGATTACCTGTGTGTCTACTTGACTGGCTATAAGTCAAGGGTCCCATGACCCTTTCCTCTTCTCAGGTTTAATTGATTTGCTAGAGTGGCTCACAGAATTCGGAGAAATACTCGTATTTGCCAGTTTATAATAAAGGATGTAACAAAGGACACAAATGAGGAATACATAGGGCAAGGCATTTAGGAAAAGCACAGAACGTCCATGCCCTCTCCGGGACACCATCCTCTAGGAACCTCTATCAAGAAGCTCTCTACCCTGTTCTTTGGAGTTTTATGGAGGCTCCACTGCATGGACATATTGACTACATCGTTGACCAATGGTGATCAACTTAACTTCCAGCCCTTCTCCTCCTTGGAGGTTGTGTGCATGGGTCTGAAAGTTTCAACCCTCTAAATCTGCCTTAGTCTTCCATTCCTGAATCTACCAACTGTCAGTTAACTCCTTAGCAGACAAAAAGACCTCATTCTGGAGATTCAGAGGACTTAGGAGTTGTACAACAGGAAAAGACCAAATATGTCATTCACAATATCACAATGCTCAACATCATTTCTTGACAGATAAAAACAAATGAAAACCTTTGGAAGGAAAAGACAACTGCATAGTAGACATTATAAAGACAGAGAAATGTATTAGCCATACAAAACTAAATCAAAATAAAGAGTCAGACCCTGGGGCATGCTGCCAGATCCTACCAAGCCAGGGTCAGAAAGAAAATGACAAATATAACCTGAGACTCTAAGAAGGCAAGCTTTTTTTAAACTACTGGGTTGTCAGAAAAGTCATGACACCTTTTTTTCATAGAAGCTGTTAAGAAAAAACATTTGCTAAGAAGCTGCTTAGAAAAAATTCACACTAGGGCATAGGTAACAAAGGAGGGTCTGGGGAGGTTGAGAAATGGACAAGATTGGGCAAAAGTCTGTTTTTCTTTATGTGTGTACAGGGAGATTGCAAGTTCTGGCCCAAGTTAAAATTATCTGGAGAAAGACTCTCATGAAGGCCAGAGTCAGCAGAAAATAATCTTAGAATGGTCAGCTGCTTCTTCTTTGTCCGTAGGCCCTATTTTTTTTTTCTAGATAGAACCTATATTTTCACAAAATTTTAAGACATGCACTGTTCATCTATAAAAATTACTAAAATTAAGACTACAGGGACCAGCAGTTAGCGTAATGGCTATGTCGCTGGACTCCCACATAGTCGACCACAGTTTGCGTCCCGGACCAGGTGGCTTAAAACAAAAAAGATGCTCGTGAGAATATAAGGAATAAGCCAAACTTTTTTCCTTTGCTCACTCAACCATCAGCACAGACTTCTGCAAACGAGTGTGAGGAGGGGGTGCCCACACACTAAACAAACAATCCATTCTGAAGCAGACACCATTTGATTCCACTAATTCAATTCTGTCTGACACTAGCTCCCTGGAGGCAGCATCAGATCCCACAGGTAGCTCTGTTTCTAAGAATATCCCACTTCCAAATGCCAAGCACAAGCCCCAGGGATTGTGATTACCTGTGTGTCTACTTGACTGGCTATAAGTCAAGGGTCCCATGACCCTTTCCTCTTCTCAGGTTTAATTGATTTGCTACAGTGGCTCACAGAATTCGGAGAAATACTCGTATTTGCCAGTTTATAATAAAGGATGTAACAAAGGACACAAATGAGGAATACATAGGGCAAGGCATTTAGGAAAAGCACAGAACGTCCATGCCCTCTCCGGGACACCATCCTCTAGGAACCTCTATCAAGAAGCTCTCTACCCTGTTCTTTGGAGTTTTATGGAGGCTCCACTGCATGGACATATTGACTACATCGTTGACCAATGGTGATCAACTTAACTTCCAGCCCTTCTCCTCCTTGGAGGTTGTGTGCATGGGTCTGAAAGTTTCAACCCTCTAAATCTGCCTTAGTCTTCCATTCCTGAATCTACCAACTGTCAGTTAACTCCTTAGCAGACAAAAAGACCTCATTCTGGAGATTCAGAGGACTTAGGAGTTGTACAACAGGAAAAGACCAAATATGTCATTCACAATATCACAATGCTCAACATCATTTCTTGACAGATAAAAACAAATGAAAACCTTTGGAAGGAAAAGACAACTGCATAGTAGACATTATAAAGACAGAGAAATGTATTAGCCATACAAAACTAAATCAAAATAAAGAGTCAGACCCTGGGGCATGCTGCCAGATCCTACCAAGCCAGGGTCAGAAAGAAAATGACAAATATAACCTGAGACTCTAAGAAGGCAAGCTTTTTTTAAACTACTGGGTTGTCAGAAAAGTCATGACACCTTTTTTTCATAGAAGCTGTTAAGAAAAAACATTTGCTAAGAAGCTGCTTAGAAAAAATTCACACTAGGGCATAGGTAACAAAGGAGGGTCTGGGGAGGTTGAGAAATGGACAAGATTGGGCAAAAGTCTGTTCTTCTTTATGTGTGTACAGGGAGATTGCAAGTTCTGGCCCAAGTTAAAATTATCTGGAGAAAGACTCTCATGAAGGCCAGAGTCAGCAGAAAATAATCTTAGAATGGTCAGCTGCTTCTTCTTTGTCCGTAGGCCCTATTTTTTTTTTCTAGATAGAACCTATATTTTCACAAAATTTTAAGACATGCACTGTTCATCTATAAAAATTACTAAAATTAAGACTACAGGGACCAGCAGTTAGCGTAATGGCTATGTCGCTGGACTCCCACATAGTCGACCACAGTTTGCGTCCCGGACCAGGTGGCTTAAAACTCACGCCGGGCACATGTGTGTGCGTGCCCAAGATCCCAGGAGGAGAATGGAGGAGAAGGGACTGTGGCGTGACCATCCCCCCTGGGGGTGATTTCTCGCTTTCTGTCTCTCTGTCTCTCTCTGTCTGGCGAGCACATGCACCCTATAGCAAAAACCTCTCCAAAAAAAAAAAGAAAAAAGACTACAGAAATAGTACGTGATGGTAAGGATGTGAAAGAAGAACTCTTTTGCCACTGGTAGACTATACATTGGTACTGTCATTCTGGAGTGCTGTTGGGTAGTATCTACTAAAGCCCAACCTTGGCCTGACTGGAAGCAGTTTCACTCCAGGGCACACCCTCAGCAGGTAACAGGTGCTCACATCTACCAAACCGCTTATACAATAATGTCCCTAACAGAGTTACTCATAATAGCCAGTAACTGAATACCACCTAAATATTCTTCAACTGTATAATAGACAAATAAATGGTATACTCACACAGAGAGAGGAATACTGTAAAGCAATAAAAAAGCACAAGTTACTGATAATACCAATAAATGGATATCAAAATCATACTTTAGAGCAAAACAAAAAATTAGCCATGAAAGAAAACAAAGTGTCAGTCCATTTAGGAAGTTGAGAAACAGTCGAGGAACCAGCAGATGGTGAAATGGTTATCTTGCTGGACTCCCTCGTGGTTGACTGCAGTTTGAGTCCTGGACCCAGTGGCTTAAAATTCATGCTGAACCCATGTGCATGCATGCCCAAGATCCTGGGAGGAGAATGGAGAAGGGATTGTGATGTGGCCACAATTCCCGTTGCGGGGGTGTGATTTCTTGCTTTCTATCTCTCTGTCTCTCCAGCAAGCACACGTGCCCTATAACAAAAAAAAAAAAAAAAAGGAAAGAAAGAATGAAAGAGTCAAAACTGACCTACATTGATAAACCTTATAGTAATAGTCACATTTGGGAGACTATTGGCTGATGAACATGTAGGGAGTCTTTGAGGAGCTAAATATTCTACATCTCAAAATGGATCTTCATAAATGTATACATATGAGAAAGTCATTTAAAATGTGTGCAATATACTGTACTGATACTTTACCTGAAATAAAACCTCTGTGAGAATGGAAGAAGCCATTACTTTTAAAGGGAGTTTGGAATGCTCTAATATTAAAGACATACCTAATTCACTTTATGTCTGTGAGATATTTTCAAATACGCAGTCTTCATTTAAAATTTGTAAATAGTGGCGCCAGCAGGTGGCATGGTGCTTAAGAGTGCTGGACTCCTACATGGCCAACCGCAGTTCAAGTCCCAGACCTGGTGGCTTGCTTTCTCACTTTCTCTTTCTCTCTCTCTCGCTCTGTCCCTC